TCTTTCTTTCTTTCTTTCTTTCTTTCTTTCTTTCTTTCTTTCTTTCTTTCTTTCTTTCTTTCTTTCTTTCTTTTTTTGCCAGCACGATGTCACAGAGTGCTATTACTTTCCCACTGAAGTGGTACCTATTTATCTATTCTTATTTGCATGCTTTCAAACTGCAAGATTGTCAGGAGCTGAGGCAAGCACGTGGGTCACCCCGTCATGCAGTGCTCGGGTTTCGAACCTGGATTGCCAGATTTCCAGCTGACAAGCCCAGCGTCTTAACCCCTGAGCCATCACGACACCTCACAGTGTTGGGTGGACGAACAGGGAAATCCAGATCCAGTCCAGCCTTAGCCTTTGAGGTAGTAGATGACTTTGGGCCACTCCTTCTCTCTGACCCGACTTGTTCTTCTGTGGAACACGGAACATTGTATACCGGTTCATGAATGAACGGTGGAAATTCATCAAGAAACCAATACATCGAGTCACATATCAGAGGGTGAAGAGGCAGTAAGGCCTTATTTTTTTAAAAAAAAAAAATCACAGGAGCTTAAAAAGCAGGTGCACAATGAATCAAAATGAGGTCACCAAGAAGGAGGAACCTCACATCACCTCCCAATAATGAAGTAAGATCAAAACACCTTTCATCTAAGAAATCTTAAAAGCTTGAAAACATGCAAGGATCTCTTTCCCCCCCCTTTCAGGAAAGCAAACATTTAAGGAAGTGGCTTTCTTTGCTTGTAATCTTTCCAGGGGTGCAAATGAAAAATGGCATTTTGCATTCAGCTCTCAAAGTCTGCGCTTGGCTTCACTTTTCACCCCTACCCATAGATTTTCAACCCCAAGCATCTAATGAGGCTGCAAGAACAGATGGGCCAATCCTGCTGCTTGGGGTTGTTTCCCTTCTCTCTGTCTCTCTCTCTCTCGACTTCAGGCCGATGACTTTGAGAAGGAAACTTTGCACGAAGGTTATAAATCCCCCGAAGAAAAATCAGAAGCCCTTGCGAACAGGAGAAACAGTGACAGAGGTTTCACTCCGGTGGTGTGAGTTGTGACATTATAATTACAGGTAAGAACCTAGTGAGGTAAACATTTCAGTTGTCTCAAAAATGCATGCTGCTTGCACTGACATTTCCACACAAGGCATTCGCTTGACAATGGGACTGACAAGCGACTTCTCTGCAGGCAGGAGATCAGCCAGCCCACCGCAAACACAATTGTCTCGGAAGCAGGTGAAAGACATGGATTGGCCAGTCCCTTTTTCTCCGTTGCTGCCCTCCAGGTAATAAAGGCAATTAATCTAGACAGGCTTTATTGTGTTGCCCCTAATTAGACTATTTATATGAATTGTCACCAGAGATATCACCGGGCGTTGGGTGAGGCATGATAGTAGTGTCAGATCTGCAAGCCATCTTTTCCTTTTCGGACTTTAGGCCTGCCACACTTTCTATTATTCTATTATGCCTTTTCTATTGTGGGGAAATGGGAGAGGCCTCCTGCCGATTACCTCTCTCAGACCAATTAGATCGCACAGGTTGGGTCTCCTCCGGATTCCATCTGCCAGTCAATGTCGGCTGGTGACTCCCCGGGGGAGAGCCTTCCCGGGGGAGAGCCTTCC